AGGGGAGATGTGTGGGTGGAGCTGTGAAAACACAAAGATAGATGGCTGATGTGGTCCAGGTTGAAGGTGGGTGGGAAAGGTCATGGTTTGCCCTCCCAGCTACCACCAATTTCACATTTTCCAGCCTTGAGCTTCACAATTCTGTCTTCATTTTTGAAAATTATCCATGACTATAAAGTATTGGAACCAGTTTTAGTTTTATATAAACAAACCAGAAGGTATTACTCATAATTCCTTGCGTTTGCAGAGCAGTGTGCAGTTTAGAAGGCTTTCAGCTTATGTTGTTAAATTAATGAGTGAATACACACGCGCTCACTTTGAAGACAGCTTTTGTGTTTGGGGCCTTTAAAAGCTAACAAAATAGACTTGGAAAGGGGATTTGACTTGTTTGATAACACCTTGATCTACCTAGCAGAACTGTGACTTGAACCCAGACTTTCTGACTCTAACTCTGAATCCTTCTACTTTTTCTGCTCTTCTTCAGAGACTAGTTAGGAGCCACAAGATAAAATCACTTAGTCTTTAAGTTAGGATCTAAAGTAAAATTACCCCCTGGGACGCAGGAAGCTGTGGTGTGTGAGGGACGTGACTTCGGATTCAGAATGACCCGGATGTTCTTCTCAGCTTTATCACTCACGTGCTGTGCGATCTGGGGTAAATCACTTCACGTCCTTGGTCTCTCAGTCAGTCACCTACAGTTACTGCAGCATGTCTCCCTGTCTGCGTTCTGGTGTGGGTTAGAGGCAATGGTGTCCATAAAGCACCCAACCCATTGCAGGTGCTCAGTAAATGTAACCCATGCTGGGTGTGGTTGTGGAGGATGTTGTTAAATACGAATCTTATTCTCCATAGAAAGTTCCAAATAAGGTTGGGCGGTTTCTAAAACCTGTCAGGTTAAATAGTCAGTGAGCCCTTACTTACGCTGGGCTTTCTGCTAGGATCCTAGAGAAGACTAAACCGTGGATCGTGCCCTCAAGCCTGTGGCGACATGCCTGCAGGTCAGAGTTTCACCCTGTTCAAGATACTCAGTGAACCGTACTTCCGACTCTGAAGGTGCTCCTGGCCATTCTCTAAGGAGTCTACCAGGGCTTCCACAGTCTCACAGAACTTTTTAGAACTGAGTTTCTAAGGCCACCTCCGTGTGTAGTTTGACTCCCTCTGAGCTACCCCTCGCATTCTTCCCTGCTCTCCATAGCTTCAGAGGTCTCCTTGCTCCTCAGCGTCTCACGGTCCTGCCCTTCACCCTTGTCTCCCCACTTCTGACAGCCTCCTTGCTTTTGTCTTTCACTGCAACAAGCTCATTGGAGCGGCCCTTGAGACCTTTGCCAACCTGATGTCAACATACCTTCCTGGTGGTCCTCCCCGCTCGCCCTCCCAGCGCTCCCCAAACTCCTTTCTCCAGCCGCTCACCTCCCTCCTCCTCGCCTCGGCCTCAGATGCTCTCTCCCCAGGCCTCTCTTCTTCTGTTGGACTCCTCCCAGTTCCTGTGCATCTTTCACCCGCACTGAAACTCACGTGTCTCTCAGCACATTTGGAGAAGATGTGAGGCAGTAGGCTACAGTAATTATGAAGTGTTGGTTTGTTTGTTGTGGTACTGGTGATTGAACAAAGGGCCTTCTCACTGAGCTACATCCCCAGTCCTTTTGTTTTTCCTTATTTGAGGCAGGGTCTTACTCAGGCACCACATTGCCCAGGCTGGGCTTGAACTTGGGATCTTTCTGCCTCGGTCTCCAGACTGCTGTGATTATGGGCATCCACCACCATGCCTAGCTTGCAGCAATTGGTTTAAATGCCTGTTTTCCCAGCTAGACTATTGATTCCTTCGACTGAGATACTGTTTCTTATGCTGTGTGTTCATAGCATCCGGCAAAGCCAGACATGTAGCTGGAGGTCAGTTCATTAAACTGACTGCTTTGTGTAGTTTGGGACAGAAACCTAAAAGAAGTTGGCAAATCAGTGAGAATCTTGACAGATGCGGGAATTGGGAACGAACTGGCAGTTTGACTTCTGAGAGTTTCTTTCTCTTTGTTCTTTTAACAGCCTATGACAGCTCAGAGCCAAAGAGCATACTTTTTGGTTTTTTCCTTTCTTTAATACTTTTGTTTTTGCTCTTTGTTTTTGTAGGTTAATCCCTACATCCTGAAGAAGAACATGATCCTCATGACAAATAATTTCTATGCAGCAATCTTGGGGTATGATGAGGTAAGATCATTTGCCAAGCCTTAGCCATAACAATGGCCTCCTCCAACAAAGGCTTTTGATGACAGCATACAAAGAAAACTTCCAGGACTGTCTTTACTGGATATGTTACACTTCAAAGCTCCATGTCTACTTCTCTGTTTTCACTGACTGGTTCGCTAGTGTTGGGAAAGAGGGCACTGTACAATATGGTCAGTCACTCAACCAGTCAGCATTTGTTGAGTGGCTGCTGGGTGCTGGATGGGAGGCGAATCACTTACACACACCCAGCTGCTCCCAGAGATAGGGACACATTCACATGCAAACACCAGAATCTGCCAAACAAATTACACACATTTTTGGCTTAATTATAAAAGCGATACAGGGGCTGGGGATTTAGCTCAGCAGCACAGTGCCTGCCTGGCAAGCACAAGGTCATGAGTTTGATTCTCAGTACCAAAAAAAAAAAAAAAAGAAAACAAAACAAAACTAAAAGCAATACATATTCACCTAAAAAAAATTTATAGAACTACACAAGCAGTCAAAATACAAAATAGAAGGCCGAGGGCTGGGGTATAGCTGATCGGTAGAATGCTTGCTTAGCTTGTGTGAGGCTCTGATCCCCAGCACTGGAAAGAAAGAAAGGGAAGCAGAAGGAGGAGAGGAATAGAGAGGAGAGGACTTGCTTTTTATTCACTGAACAGTGTATCCTGGGAATTCTTCCACTTCAGACACATAGCTCCATCTCATCTTTTGTATTATAAAACATATATATAACAGCTGGACATGGTGGCGCACACCTGTGATCTCAGCACTTGGGAGGCTGAGGCAAAGGGGTGCAGTGAGTTCGAGGACAACTGGGGCTACACAGAGATTTCAAGGCCAGCCTGAACTACATAGTGAGACCCTGTCTCAAAACAAAACAAAACAAAACAAACAAAAACAAACCAATTAAACTGATAAATTTTATATATATATGCACTTTTTTTTGAGTCAGGCTCTCACTATGTGGTTCAGACTAGACTTGAAATTACTATCAAATCCAGGCTAGCCTCAAACTCATGGCAGTCCTCCTGCCTCAGCTTCCTGAGTGCAGGGATCCCAGGCATGCACTACCATATCTAGCTCTAGTTTAACTAATTTTAAGTGTACAGCTCAGTAGCATTAAATATATTCCTGTTGTTATACAACTATTTCTACCATCCATCTTTAGAACTTTCCATTGTCCCAAACTAAAGCTTTATACCCACTGAATATTAACTCCCCAGCCCTGGCAACCATGGTTTTCCCCCAGGTCCATTCGTGTTGTGGTATTTACAGTCTGTGAATGTATCCCCAGCCCTCGCAACTGTCCCTGTACTGTTTGTCTCTATAAATTTGACTGCTCTAGGAACCTCATGTAAGTGGACTCGTACAGTATTTGTTCTTTTGTGACTGGCATGGTCTCATCCGGGTTCATCTGTGTTGTGGTATTTACATTGGGAATGTCTTGGTGAATCTGATACTTACATTTACTGATTGCATTCTGACTTCAGAAACCTTACAATATATAAAAGAATGAGGCTTAGCTTTGAAGAAATACCACCCTCTGTTAGCATTTGTTTGTGGTCTCCATTGCAGGTGACTGGGCTCTGTTGACTCTTTCATGATGATTAGGGATAATGAACTGAGTGATGTCCGTTCTCCGACCCCGTCCCAGTCTGTTCTGGCAGAGCTATGTGACCTGCACGTGGCTCATCAGAGGAGTCACTTAGAGGGCTTTTCACATGTCTCCCTGAGCCCTGGGAAGCTCCCCGTTCAGTGGCAGTTCTGCCTGATGCTTCAGCAAGCACCCCAGTGACACTTCAGCAAGGGAAGTTTGGGGAATATGCTAACTGCATGAAATACCAGTGTCTTGGCCCTGTGCCCCAAAGGTTCTGATGGCATTGGTGTGGGTGGGCAGTTGTAATTTAAAAGACCCCAGAGAATTTAAATATGTAATTCCAGAACAGTTTTTCTTAAAGAGACCAATGTAAGATTCACGTTTGGAATCAGTGAGTCTGGGTGGGGTCTGAGAGTCTGCATTCTGCAGAGTACTTGTGGAACTAGAATGTTCTAGAGGTAGCCAGTGCTAGCTGCACACAGTTATTTTTACTTAATTTAAGTGAAACTAGAAATTCAGCTCCTCATTCGTGGTGGTCACAGTTGAGGCTCTCCCTGACTGCCTGTGGCAGAGGCTACCGTCAGACTGCGCAGACACGGCGCATCCCCTTGTCACAGAGTCGGGAGGTTCTCTTGGACAGCACCCTCTTCCTACACTCTTGCTGGATTGCTTTCCCTCCCTGGACACTTCTGGAACCTTCCTCTTTTTCTGTCTCATGAGGTCCAAATTGCTGCATGGAATTCCAGGTCTTCTGTGAGCTGTCCCATCGGTATATGTCCTCTCCACCTCTCCCACCTGTTGCCTGTGGGAGAATTGTTGTGCAACCTGTTTGGCTCCCACATAACCTCTTTCCTTTTCTACCTTCTTAGTTTGAAATTTGCATCCTTAGACCAATCTCCCGTTAGTTTCCAGAGTTAGCAGCAGTCTGGAGGAAAGAAGGCTGCCGCTGGATTTGGTCATTTTCAGTGCACTCACATGGCGTGCCAGGGGTTGCACTGTGTCCGGAGCTAGGCAGTCGCCACCCTCTGACTGCAGCGGTGCATGCTGGTTCTGCTTCCGTTGCAGTTGGCACGCTAAAACCCCTGAACCTCTGCACTTACCTTTCAGACAGGGTTAGTGATATTTGTGCTGTGCGTAACCACTGGGAGCCAGCTGTGTGGAGAGCCTGACAGTCCTGAGCAGGCAGGTCATTAGCTAGCGCTGTTGGGTCGGCCTGTTCTGGGACTCCTGCTTATGGGCTTACCCCGTCTCAGCCATCTTGCCCGCCACTGAGGCTGCCTGTTTGGAGAAACTCATGGTGACCAGGCTTTTCTTATCCTGGGCTCTGCTCCTTCGTTAGGTCTCCATGGCACCCATTCCCACTCCTGATCCTTCCCATATCCCACACGTGGGTTGCTCCCAGCAGCACTCCAGCCTGTGCCCAGGGCACTTCAGACCCTGGCAGGCTGTTGTGTTAGCACATAGCGTGGAGAGCGGTGACATGCCTGAGCTTGTCCTTGGCCCTGTTGCCGTTTGCCAGGAGAGGCCGGGTTTTCCTGACTCAGCCATGGTGCCAGGACAGTCTTCAGCTGTGGAACCGTGTGGGTATTTAGCAGAAGGCATCTGGAGCAAGTGGAATGCGCCCCACGAACTGTCAGCTCCCCACGCTGGATGTGGACCTTCCTGGCAGCAGGCCTCATCTGTCACAGGGCCTGAGAGCCCAGACTACGACTACGCAGGAGAAACAAGCAACAAGCAACGTTCCTGTGCCTTTGTCGTGTGTAGGAGGCCTTTCACACCCATTGTCTCTTCACAACAACCCTGCGGGACAGGATTATTATGTTTGTGTAACTGATGAGAGGTGGCGGCTCAGGGAGGGCTGGTGGCTTTTCAAAAGCCACGTACAGTCAGATCATAGAGCTGGCATTTGAACTCAGGCTGTCTGGCTCACAGCTACCACTGTTGTCTCTACTGTGTCCACAGTTGCCGGCTAAAGTATGCTCCTAGGCCTTATAGCCAAGGTAGTGCACTTGAAAGTGCCTTTATACTTCTTTTGTTTTGTTTTGGTTTGGTTTTTTTGGTGGTACTAGGGATTAAATCCAGGGCCTTGTGGCGCTAGGCAAGCTCTCTCTACCACTCGGCCTCACCCCAGCCCACGCTATCTTACTTTCATAATTCAAGGATGCTGTAGGTAAACAAGTATTTCATCTCTTTCTAACACCTGAGAAGTCTGAGGCTCAGGTTTAGCCACCACCACTGAGAGTGGCAGTGACAGTACGAGGACTTCCCAGGTCAGCACCTCACTTGCACATACTACCTTGGCTCCCAGACAGAGCAGCTTCTTCAGGTCTTTCCCTTCAGCTGCCCCAGCAGCCTGAGCTAGGAAATGACTCTCATTAGCCTCTGTGACGTCGGGCTTCCCCACAGTTCCCTGTGCCAGGAGGGGCAGTGCCAGGCGTGTACTAGTGCAGACTCTGAACACCGCCCTGTGTGGCCCTCTGTGGCCCTTACTGATCCTGCTGGGCAGCATGTTCCACTCATGATTGGCCAGAGACAGGCGACAGTGAAAGAAAGGTACCTCGTTCTCTTTCCCAAAGCACTGGCTGCCTTGCAGATAACGTGCCTGTGAACCGGTTGAGAAGGAGCAGTCCACGCCCAGCTCCATGGCTGGGAAAACAGAAGCTTTTGAAGTCCTGCCACAACCTGGGGACAGCAGCAGAGGCACTGCCACTCCATTGCTCTTCCTGGCCTCTCAGACTTTGCCTGGGCCAGGCGCACTGCAGTAGAGAAGGGGAAACTGCCTGGGAGCAACCAGACAGTCCCAGCTCAGCGTCACCTCAGCAGTGACTTGGCCCCTCTGGGTTCCAGTTCTTCCTCTGAATATAGTGAACTTGTTGGCCAGGCATGGTAGCACATGCCTGTAATCCCAGCATTCTCGAAGCTGAGGCAGGAGGATTGCCACAAGTCCAAAGCCAGCCTGGGCTATAAAGCATGACCTTGTCTCTATACCCTCCCCCACATAAAATAAAGGGATTGGACCACATATTCCTGTCAGACCCCTTCCAGCTGAACTGTGTAGCTGTCCCATTCCCTCTCTTAGTATCTTTGAGGTCCCCTGAGTCAGTGATTCTTTGTGTGTGTTATTGGGGGATTTTTGTTTTTGTAGCAGCACTCAGATTGAACTTGAGGCCCACACTAAGCTACATTCCTAGCTTGTTTTCTTGTTTGTTTTGAAACAGGGGCTAAGTCACTAAGCTGTCAAGACTAGACTTGAACTTGTGATCCTCCTGCCTCAGCCCCCCAGGGCATTGGGATTACAGGCAGCTTAAACCAGTTCTTTGCTCTTGTGATCACACCTTCCCCGTTTGTGTCATAGCTCTGCAATGTTCCCTGGAAGACCAGTTGTTGTACTTTATTGTTCCAGGGGATCCTTTCAGATGATCACGGGCTCGCTGCCGCCCTCTGGAGAACCTTCTTCAACCAGAAGTGTGAAGACCCTCGACAGCTCGAGCTGCTGGTGGAATATGTGAGGAAACAGGTGAGAGCCACGCCCCCCACACATCTTACGGAAAGTGTGTCCTCCCGAGCACTGCATGTGCTGGGCTCCTGGGGTTGTGGGAAGGCAAGGTACCAGAGGCCAGGCAGAGGGAACTCTGACCGCTCCAGTAGCGGCTGGCACCAGTGAAGAATGAAAAAGACCCAGGGGCTGGCCCGTGGGAATAGAAAGGAAAGGGCACCAAGTGGTCTCTGGCTTTCAGAAAGTCATAGCCATTCTTCACCACACATTTCATTACCTGCTGTGGCCATGGAGTCCTGGAAGACAGGGACATGGTCAGCCCTTCTGTACCCACTTAGAGCCCCAGGGCAACAGCCCTGCACAAACACACCCGGCCTCTTCACACAGGCCACTCTCCACAGGCTAGCAGCACCCCTCAGGTCCTTACCCTTCACGTCTCCAGGGCTTCCTAACACTAAGGCTTCTAGGAGAAGCTCTCCTGCGTGGACTGTTGAACCAGAGCTGTCTCAAACCCAAGGAGAAATAACTCCTTGATCTCCCTGCTCCCAGATCCTACCTGGATGGGAAACTCATACTTTCTAGATGGGTGGGCTGCATGGCAGGGAGAAGAAACATGGACCCTTTTCCAGGGTCTCCCAGTGAGTCAGTCTGCATTACTACCCTCGGACCCCAGGCTGGGTGATTCATGTAACACTAGAGGCCTCTGCTGCTGCAGACAGCTCATCAGCTTGGGTTGTCTTGTGAGTCACACCTTTGCTTCCTGGGCCTGGCCAGCAGGGCAGAAGGGCCCTCACTCCGCAGTTAAGTCTCTTGTTCACCTGTATCAATGGCCTTCAAGCCTCCAAAATGTGGAAAAAAGCAAGGCAGACACCACATCTTGAGCAGCCAGGGCCAACAGGACTAGCTAATTGGTTGCTGGAGATTTGTCCAATTGAGACTCTTTAGATCTAGACGGTAGAAAGCCCCAGAAGCCAGGACTTCTGTTTGACCATTCTTTAAATCTGTCAAGAGCCAGGGAGAAGGTACTGCGGCCAGAGGGCTCCACCCACAGAGAATTCTGAGACTCACACTGTTGACAGGACTCGCCCTCAGACAGAGTAGCAGTTGGCAAATCCAGTGTTGTTTTCTCAGAGACCCACCCAACTTTTCCATCTGCTGTGATGGCCTTGTGCCAGAGGCCACAACAGGACACAGCTGGGACCCCTCCAGGGTCCCAAAAGGAAGAACCTGCCACAATTAATACTCCATAAGACTCATGACTATGGTGAAAGCCAGGCAAACAGTGATGAGGCTTTTAGGAAAGCAGGGAGCTTTAATGGGGACCCAGTTCTATCAGCAAACCTGCTATGCCCAGCCCTGTGCTGGGACAGCAGAGACTGATGAGGCTGAGTCTTGCATCAAGGGGCCAGTTAGGTGCACAGCAGGCCCAGTAAGGTGGACACTGGGCTAGGCTGGGCAAGGAGAGTTGCGTCTTGACTGAAGGATCAGGGAAGACCAGGAAGCTGGGCCTTGAGAAGAAGACAGTCCTGCGCTTGGCACTGTGTGATACCCACTCCTGGGCAGCGTTGAGGTTTGTAGCCAAGGAAATGGGCAGAGCGGTGGTGTTAGGGTAGGTTGCTGGGAAGGGGCATGGGGTTGTTTTACTTGGTTTGGTTTTTTGAGACAGCGTCTCCTATGTAGTTCTGACCTTGAACTCACTTATGTAGCCCAGGCTGGCTGCAAACTCACCGTGATCCTCTTGCCTCAATCTCCGAAGTTCTGGGATTGCCGGTGTGCACCACCGCGCCTAGCTAGGGGAATGGGTTTTAGGGAAGATAGTTCGGTTGAGCTTCTTGCCCTGAAGAGACGCAGGACCCATGGGATTCCAGATCTGAGGTCCGTGTGAGAGGCTGGGGTTGATTTCAGAGGTCAGCAGTCTGAAGGTGGCACAACAAGTATGATTAGTTCTTGGAAGAAGGGCCTGAGCCAGGCCTAAGGGAACGTCCCCCGTCTTCCTCCCGTCTCCCTTAGGGAGCCTCATCTTTGGGGTCCAGTGCCACCTGCTGCTCTGGTCGTTTTCACTGGAAATGTGACATGTCCACTGGGAAGCATTTCTCACCTGCTGTCCTCTGTAGTAGCAGGTGGCCTGGGGAACCCTGCTGAGCTGCCTTCATCTCCTGAGACTCCCTGCTCTCTTTTTTTTTTTAATGCCTTTTTTTGCACCTCTTTTTCTTGCACCGTCTCCCATGTGCCTCTGTTCCATGTCCCCTCTCCTTTGGGAGGGCTGTGCACCTAGATTTCTGGGCAGGCCTGAGAGCATCCAGAGGCCTAATTGCCCAGGGCAGTGGCATCTGGAGCTCCCCATCTCCATGTCAGATGGGCCGGTGGCAGAACTGGCAGAAAGCCCGGAAGGAGTATGATTGCTCTTTGTTGTAGTGAGCAGCGTAGATGGCACTTGGTCCCTCTGGTTCCAGTGAGAACCGAGGCTCAGTGGTGAGGGTCCGCCTCAACAGCAGTCGTCCCAGAGCGGGGAAGCTGGACCTGCTGGCCAGCATCCGGGCCCCCTGGAGGACAATGGAGAAATCCATGTTAGGAAAAACTCACTTGCATGACCAGCACTGTGCATGTGCCCTATTTAATCTTCATCTGAGTCCCACGAGGCACACATTTCTACCCCATCAGAGGAAGCAGCCTAGATCTCAGAAAAGGGAAGTGGTCACCTGGGGAACTAGGGAGGGACAGAGTTGGGATTCCTTCTCCCTGCAGCACTGGATGGGGGTGGACAGGAGGACTTCCTGTCCTGCAGGAACTCTGTAGGGAGGACAGGGGGGTTGTGCTTGGGGTGTGTTGTCACCATTCTGAGGTGTCCCGGGAAATTCCCTAAGTCTTCCCGAGAGCCTCCCCAGTGACTGTTTCCCCAGATCTCCTTAATGAAAGAATCGGGATCAGAGCCTGACCTGAGAGCTGGATGGTCACAAGCTCCGCAGCTCCCTTTCCCTTCCTTTCGTGGGGGAAGCTGATTCCTTTTGTCACCTTGTATGTGTTTTGCCCCTTTTCCTCTGTTTCCTGCAGATGCAGTACCTGGACTCCATAAATGGCGAGGATCTGCTTCTGACTGGAGAAGTGAGCTGGCGCCCTCTGGTGGAAAAGAATCCTCAGAGCATCTTGAAGCCCCATGCTCCTACTTATAACGATGAGGGTCTTTGAGGGGCTGGTCCCTCTAGGCTGCTGGCCAGCTGGCTTTGAGGAACTACGGCAAAGGAAGTGCTTGTTTGGCCCAGGGCCCCACAGAAAGTGGCCTGAGCTGACCTGTGAACAGCATCTGTCAAATACCTGGCCTATTTGTTGATTTTCCTCTTAGTATGCCCAGGAGTCTGACCTGATGGGGGTATAATGCTGGCAGAACCTCTAGCTCTTCTGAGGTGTTGTCTCCCGCAAGAAGAGCCCCCAAAGCTGGTCATGGTGGTGCAGACTAAAATCCCAGCACTCTGGAAGGCTGAGGCAGGAGGATCTCAAATTGAAACACAGCCTGAGTGACTTAGTGAGACCCTATCTCAAAATAAAAAATAGGAAAAGGGCTGAGGATGTAGCTCAGTGCAAAAGCCCATGGTCCAATCCCCAGTCGTACAAAAAAAAAATGAAAAATAACGGAGGCGCCCCAAATAAAAGCTTCTTAACACATGCTCCCCAAATCCCTCCAGCAGCTTTTCCCAAAGGAAAGGGTAAAGGGAGTAGAAAGGGGACACACCCTCCCCCAAGGGCCTGATATGTTTGTAATGCTGCCAAGTCAGGATGGGTAGGTGCACTCTGTCCCTTGGCTTTGAGCCATGGAGGTTGAGTTGGCCATTAAAAGAAACAGACTTAACGTCTGCCCTGGCTTCTCTTTATTCTAGAGTCTTTTTAGGAACTTAACGTGAGATGGTGGCTGCCGTAAGATAAGGAGCACTTCCCAGCTCAGAGGCAGGAAGAGGGGAAAGCTGGGGTTCTGCTGCTGTTTTTGCCTTCAGTTTTACGAGATGTTTCGCTGTCTGGCCAGGGCGTGGCCTGCCCTTCCTCTGGGACCCAGGAGGCCTTTGAGGTCCAAGGGGCTCATCACACCGGAAGTCATTTAGAAAGAAGCCTCAAGAACAAAGGGCCTTTCGTTCCCCCCAGTGAACTGAGTGAGGAACATGCCACCTTTTCTCTCTTGGCCTCTCCTTCTATGAGATGTTGGGGCAAAAAGAACCTTGCTCCTGACCTCGTTACACTGTCCCGGGACCTAGCCCCGTGCCCCTTCCAGCTTCCGGAGCGCATGCTGCAGAGCCACCTGGTTGGAGAGCTGGAGGACCTGGAGTGTGGGTCATCTCTTGGGGGGTTTTCTTACATTGAAATAAGGGGGGCGGGGAACCACCTTGCCCCTCCCTCCCCCATCAGACTTCCTTCATTGAACTCGCTATAAAATGAGTCATATAGAGAAACTCTATACGGGTGAGGTATATCCCACTTCTGTGAAAACATTACAAATCAAACCACCTTCTCTCCGTTTATTTAAGATGCTTTTGTTGCAAGCAGAGCTCTAGAGTGAAGCCTCCTCTGTGTGTGTGAGATAATAACACCTTGTAACTCATTACAGCTGGGCACTATTTACATAAACCAGAGCCAAGCCAGGCAGGAATTTGCTGATTAATTTATTTTTAATGGAGTGAAGTATACCATGCACCAAAATAAACTTTACTGTGTGTACCTAACTGCTCCTGGAATGGATGGAAAAATTAATGGAACAGATTTTGGCTCCCAGCTCTGCACATTAATTCATATATAAAAGTTATTTGAGCATTAACCCATTTGCTGCCCAGGGCAGCTCCCCAGCCACACATCCTAGTGCATAGCACCAGTTTAGCTACCGGGCTTGCTTTAGAGTCCTGGAACCTCAGATTTGCAAGGAACTTTCAAAATCATCTGGGCCAGCCCTGGCCCAAAACGTGACTGCTCTGCGTAACTACCACGTTGGCCTGTGCTCACGCAGGGCCTGGATGGATCCCCCAGTAGCAAATAGATGGTCCCTGCCTGCGGAGGATTCGGCAGTCATCAAAAACTTACAACATGGGGCCGCATTTGAAGGAGCCGAGTGGGACCTGTTTCATCTGTGATGTCTCAGAGCCCTCACTTCCTGGCTGTCAGCGTCTTTCAGTGGCCACACCAATCCCTCTCCCTTTCAAGATAAAATCCAGGTTCCTTGGTGGCTATAAGCTCTTCTCCTTTGCCTCCATCCCAGCCTATTTTTATGGGGCTCTAGCCCACTTCTTCCCTGAGCACGCTGAAGCCCCATACGCTTACCTGAAGGGACCGCACTGCGTCCTCTGCCTGGGCCACACGCCTCCCACACTGCCCCACCTGACTCCCTTGCCCCCACGCAGGCCACGCTGTCCACGTGGCCCTTCCAGTGTACTTCTCTGGTCACTGCGCCTCCTTGCTGCATTCTCACATGCCTGCCTCTGATACTGCGCTGTGAGCTGCTTCCACTCAGAGCAAATACCGTATTGTGGGTCAGCTTTATTTTCCCAGTGTCCAGCAGAGTGCTTGGCTCACTGTCGGCCTCTGTGTATACTATGTCAAACGCGAGCACAGATGACTAAATTATCACTCATTAGGACAAGCCCAACAAAAAAGCCTCTTTTGGGGTTGTTCTCCAACTGACCTATAATTCAGCTTATTTTAACAATACTGAGCTAGGTGTAGTGTGGCACATCCCTGTAATCCTAGCTACTCAGGAGGCTGAGGCAGGAGGATCACAAGTTTGGGCAATTGAAGGAGACCCTGTCTCAAATAAATAGGCTTGGGAGTACTTGCCCAGTATATGCAATACTCCAGCTCAATCCCCAGTTCCCCAAAAGAAAAAAAAGTAATGTTAAAAAAAAAAAAATAATGCTGAATTATTAAACTCCTCCCTTGGCCTTCGTGTGGGACTCAAAACCAAAAGCTCCAGCTAAATCTTTCTAAAGTAAATTATTATACAAAACAAGGAAAGGGCATGGCATCTTGCTCCCAGGGAGACTGCTCTTTACAAATGACCTTGTCATCTACTTAACCTCTATACTTCAGAAAAGATCACGGCAAGAAACAGAAGAAAACTTTTAAAACAAAATTTGAGGCCAGGCATGGTGGTGCATGCCTGTAATCCCACCACTCAGCAGCTGAGGGAGGAGGATTGCTGAGACTTCAAGGCTAGCCTTGGCTACATAGTGAGACCCTGTCTTAAAAAAAACAAAACAAAAAAAATTTTTTTGAAAGATAAGATGCTAGTATTGTGAGGGAAAATAATTGTATCAGAAAACCTAGACTGCTAATCACCAACTTTCAGATGACTTACTTTTTGGTAATTTACAGAATATTTTAAATGTGTTTTCTCACCATAGCCCTATAAAAATAGGTGCTGTCTTGTTTTTATTATCACTTTTCCACAAGTGAGAAAACTAAGGGCCAGAGAAGCCTAGCAAGTTACCCAAGAGAGGGCCCAGGGATATAGCTCAGCGGCACAAGTGCTTGCCTGGCAAGCGGAAGGTTCTGAGTTTGATTCCCAGTACAAAAAAAAAAGTTACCCAAGAGAGCTGCAGCCCTACATTGTGTGACCCCAGGATCCCTTTCTTCCCCCAAATCATACTGCCTCCCGCAAGTCAGCAAGGAGATCTGCCCATCATGCCATCAGGAAACAGGGCCACTGAGAAGAAACTGCTCACTGCTACAAGGCCCCTGAACAAAGCAAATCTGAGGCCCCACTGCTTTGCGTGCACCTTGAGCTGTGTGAGGAGCCATGCTGTTAGGAGGTGGACTCTGGGCAGTGGAGACGCCCTGTGAGAGCAAGGGTGTGTGGTGGTTGGGACTGGGATGAGGACACTGGCCCTGTTTGGGTATTGAAAGGCCCCCTGCAATCCTGAGACTGGATATGTTCCCAGAGGGGAGGGGAGGCCAGTGGCGGGGCTGGGGAGCAGGAGCACTTACAGGTGCAGGAAGAGCAGCAGCGGCGGGACCTGGAGAGGGAGCCAGGAGTGGAAGGGGATGATGGAGTGAGAGCTTCCACGACTCTAAGATTGAGTCTTAGGGGTAGGACAGGCCTCAGGCTCCTGGCCGAGACCCTCTCCCCACTCCCTGCTCCCCCAGTGCTAACTGCCCATCAGAGGCTTTCTGTGGCTTCCAGAGACCTCTCCTGAGCCATGCTGCTGAGTCTGGGACCCCGACTCTGCCCACGATGAAAGAACCTAGAGACCCTGGCAGGGCATCTCCAGGAATACAGTGTCCAAGCTCCAACCTGTTATGCCACAGCGACAGACCACAGTGTTAGTGCCAAAGGCACTTGGAAACCTCCGGCCCAGCCATCCTCACAGTGCCAGCTGAGCCCTGAGAGGCCCCAATCCTGGTTTCACAGTCCTGGCCTGGCAGCTAACCTGCTCCTCTTTCTCTTTTTCCCTCTCCCTGCATCCAGAAAAACTCTTTCACCTCAGGCCCCTACTGAGCGAGCCTTCCACAGGGCTGGACTCCAGTTGAGGGCTCAGGGTGGAGACGTGGTTCCTCTCAGGTTCTAGAATGGGTCATGAGCTCTACACTCCAAGCACTTAGTTTATACTTCGGTTTAATTCGTGGTTTATAATTATTTATGAGTCTGCCTTTGCCACTAGACTGAGTTCCTCCAGGGCAGAGATGAACTCTTACTCATCTTTGAGCTCAGTGCTGAGGTAGAGTAGGCATTAAATCTGTGTTGGGTGGATGGGGTGGTGAGATGGAGAGGGAACCGGATGGGCAAGGAGAGGTAGCTGTGAAAATAGTGAGGGCTTAAGGGGTCAGTGGGTAATATCTCTTCTGTTCCCCTCTTAAGTTGAGGACAGACTGAGAAGACACGAGGCAGCTGGACATCTAAAGCAGCGGCTTTGGGCTGGGGACATAGCTTCGTGGTGGAGTGCTTGCTGAGCACGCACAGAATCCTGGGCACAATCTCTAGCCCCACAGCAAGACAATAAATGCGATGGCTCTGCCAGTATTACTGGCAAAGCTGACTGAAGAACAGAGCTTCCATTTGCTGGCCAAGTGAACTCGGAGGTCTCCTCTCAGAACTAACGCCCTGCCCTGCCGTGCGGGGGAGCCCTCTGCTTTGCAAAGGCAGGGTCCTCTCTGCAAGTCTGCCGTGTAGATGTGGCTGGAGAATGTGCCGTCCTTGCACATGGCTGAGTCAGTGACAGAGTGGGAGAGGGAGAGCTCAGCCTGCTCCTTCCCTAATCCACCGGTCAGACAAATCATCACACCACTCCTCTTCCCTTGGTAGTGGAGTGCAGAAGAGGCACTGTCCCTTTCATGAGCCCATCCAGACAGTGGAGTGGGAATTCTCTCCTCTTAGGGAAACAAGTCTCTCACCATCAGATGGGATGGGATGAGGGGGATGGTGGCGGGAGGACGTGGGTGAAAGTGCGGGCCATGCCATCACTGTCTGTAGACCCAGACACAGCTGCCTCTGGGGTAGACTGCCACAGCGCCCAGCACACTGGACAGAGCGAGAGAGGGTCTTGCTCCTGCGAGCTGGGTAGAATGAGAGACCAGATTCCAGGGCAGTGGGGGGTGGTGACCAGCCACATTCCGTTGACATGGCCCAGCAGCTGCGTTGGCCTTCAGGGCCAGCCATGGTCTGGAAGGAGCAGGGGACCGAGCAGCAGGAGCTCGTGTAGTTCCTGCTTCATCTGTATTTGGGCCTTCACTGAGCCCTCGCCCTCTCACACTGGAAAAGCTCTGCCTCCGTCAGCACCTGATGCAGATTAGAGCATTTCCTGAAGCAGCCTGGTGAAGCAGATGCTTCGGCCCCACTCCATAGATTAAGCCCCTGTGCCTCAGAGTTCAGCTCACCATTGCTCCAACCAGGGGTCTCAGTACAGTGGCAAACCACAGACCTGGGTGGGCCTAGCCTTTGGAGAGTCAGGGGAACCAACTCGGAATCCAGCAGTGACCTCTTGGGTGGGGGGGTGTGGTGCTCAGGGGACAGTGAGCTGCCCCATTGGTTGCTCCTGGGAAGCCGGTGCTGCACTTTGGGACATTCTCCCCAAAAGCGGCTTCCTAAGTATATCCTAAAGTACTGTTCTGGAATCTTCCCACCCTCCATGCTGTCATCTGTAGCAAGGCCCTCAGGGCTCCTCAGAGTGCGGCTCTAGTGACCTTCCTGGCAGCTCCTTCCGGGCCATCCTGGCCCTCCTTCTCCAGCCCTGACACCCCACTTGTAGTTGGCTCTGGTTGGAATTTTCCTCAGCTTTACTCCCCAGCTCCAGCCAGCCTCTGGGACTCCTCACCAATTATTCCCTTGTCTCCCCAGCCCCTAGGTGGCTTTTGCCATGGTTCAAGGCATTTGGGCACATGCTGGCGGCCCTTCCACTGGAATTCTGTCTCCCCCGGCCAAGAGGTGCCACAGCGAAGGTGCGTGGCAGTGCTGGCACCAGAGCAGCCCGCCACTGGAGGCTGCAGCCAGCTTCTGCCCCTGCCACCCCCACACGAATCAGCTGCCCAGGCGCCACTTAGCTGGGAGACACGACAGACAAGGCTAAGTGGCCCCCAGGAAGGCTGAGCAATGGCAGGCGGGCGCCTGACACACCTCCTGAACAGGAAAATATTTTCCTTCCTCTTAATAACAGTCATTAAGGGGCCTGTGCACCACACGCTGCAGCCAGGGGCTGGGCTTGGGTCTGTCTGTGTGGCTTCCATCCCCTTGGGCCAGCACCCCAAGGCCAGGATCCACCTGTCTACCCTCTCTTGACCCTTTACTCACCCAGCCCACGGGGATGGGGCTGGATCTGATGTCCACACTACTATCCCCAGGATGTCAGGGATTCCTGGGACCCTTTCTCTTCAACTCAATCCTCCCACCTCTGCCTCTTTCAGTTGGGCTCCCTGTAGCAGCACCCAGTACCAAAGCCCAGGCTTGCAGTCAGGACCCGCTCCACAGGTACGTTTACTGGCATGTGGCCAGATAGTAAAGACAGCAAACAGGCACAGAAAATCACATGCATATATGTACACGCACAGGTAGGGATGTATAGATACATATATACTCAGTTAAACCATAAGAAATTGCCATACTTCAGTGATATTTTACTTACAAAATAAAAAGGAAAATTTTGTTTTTGTTTTTTGAGACAGGGTCTCACTATGTAGTTCCAGCTAAACTCCGCTTGAACTCACTGTGTAGCCCAGACTAGCCTCAAACTTGCAGGAATCTAACTGCCTCCGCTGCCTAAGTGCTGGACTTACAGGCATGCACCACCAGGCCCGGATGCTCACTATGTAGCTCAGGATAGCCTTGAACTCACTGTGTAGCCCAGGCTGGCCTCAAACCCGCAGCGATTCTTTTGACTCAGCCTCTGAGCGCTGCTATTACAGACATGTGCCACCATGCCTGGCTTGGAATTTTGTACTTACATACAAAAATGGAATTTAGTACAAACTTGAACATGGAGGGAAGTATACAAAAAATAGAGACCCAAATTAAAAAAGAAAAAATATATAGGACCAAATTTGTACACTCATGTTCAAGTAGCATTCATTATTTACAGTAGCCAAAAGGTGGACACAGTTCAAGTCTGTAAATGAATGATTTGCCTTTTCTTTTTGCTTTTTTTGGTACCAGGAATCGAACTCAGGACCTTGAGCTTGGTGCTTATGCCACTGAGCTATATCCCTGGCCCTAAGTCCGTAAATGAATGAATGGATATGCAATATGTGGTACATCCAGGGCTGGGGATATAGCTCAGTCTAGAGAACATCAGATCCCCAGTACCACACACAAACTGTCCCCAGACACATGGAATATTAGCCGCGAAACATGCTACAACATGGATGAGACTAAGTGAAATAAGGCAGGCATGAAAAGAACAGTGCTGTATGATTCCACTTATAGGAGCTTCCTAGAGAATTCACAGAGGCAGGAAGTGGGACCGCAGTTGCCTTGCTCTGGGTAGGGTGGGAGAAATGGTGAGTTGTCCCACGGGGGTGGAGTTTCAGCCTTACAAGATGAAAAAAGAAGAACGTACTTAATGACACTGAAGGGCGCCTACAAATGGTTAAAATGGTACATTTTATGTGAATTTTACCACTATTACAATGAACAAGATATGCACCTTGTGATAGAAATGTACATACTAGAAATAAACACACTTACCAGCCACACACACACACACACACACACACACACACACACACACGCCTCCCTCCCTCCCTCTCCGACCCAGATAAGGTCCTGTTCTCCCCTTCTCCCCTCCAAGCAAATCTGGAGATAAGGCCCTAATGAGGGCCTTGCCAGCTGTGCTGCCCCACAGCTCCTCGCCCTCCCACAGGCTGGCTTTGTTTACCAGTTCCCTGCTACTCACGCAGCCTCTCCGCCCCCAGGGAAGGGCTTCCTGAGAAGCCTTGTGCTCCAGTTTCTGCCCCTGGGATGGGACAGGATGGGATGGGATGGGACAGGATGGGACAGGATGGGAGCCTTTCAGCTCCTGGTCTATAGCTCTCCCGTGTCCCCTGGGGCCTCTCGCCCTAAGGCCCCACCATAGCAAACCCAAGTTCTCACAGAGGAAACTGTGCGATGAGCACTTTTGCCTAGGTTGGGCTGGGGCCCCATCTGCAGCTACCACCTGACTCCTTCTCTGCACAAAGCCTCTCCCTTGTCCTGAGGACAACCACAAGTGCTCTGGGACTTTGGCCCTTGTTGGGGCAGATTCCTGTCCTGTTTGCCTCCTGACCTTGCTGTGTCCTATCTGAACCCTTTGGCAGTCTAACCATTTACTATTCAGCCCCAGAAAAGGGTTCAAGGAAGGCTGAAGACTGGTTCCCATCAGGCCAAGAGTTCCCCATCATCCAAAGTGCTAGAAATACGGCTTCCAGCACAGTGAGTCTCGGGTGGGCTTCAGCACTCCGTACCTGGCGCACTGAGGCGCTTGTTAAATGGCAAACCCCAGGCCTCAGTCTTTCAGAACTTCTGGCTCAGAACCTCAGGGTGTAGGAAGCCTGGGAGATGTGTTTTACCACGTCCAGGCCAGTCTTGGGGCCAGGGTGAGGGCTCCTATTTCAGGTCTGTAGAGGATGGATGGGCTTAGAGGATGGGGCAAAGGCCTGTGGGCTCCAAGATTATGGTGGTGGAGAGTGGCAAGGTGATGATGAGAGAGGCCTGGGTGGGGGGGCAGGAAAATGTTGATATCTTTGGCAGCTTTGTGTGACCTTCTATTCAGCTCTTATTTTGGGCCTGTGTACATGCGGGCCAAGATACGCAGTACCCATGGCGATGTGTTTCAGGGTGTAGCCAGTGTCTATCTTGGTGGTTTGGGTCAGTTCATGTGATGGGGTTCGAGCAGAATGTGTGGTCTCAGGTTGTGTCCGTAAACCCAGCACTGAGGAGGCTAAAACAGGAGGATTGCTATGAGTTTGAGGCTAGCTTGGGCTACACAGTAAGCTCATGTTGAGCCTGAACTACATAGTGAGACCCTGTCTCAAAAAACAAAACAAAACCAAAAAATGGAAAATGTGTGGTCTGACCAAGAGATGGAAAGATTGGGAAAGGAAGAGAGGGAAAGGGGAAGTAAAAAGAATTAAGATGTGTTATATGCATGTACCATCTCCCCATGATAAATATAATCATTATGTACTGCAAATATACTAACAAAATTGAAAAATAAAAAATAGGATTACCGTAATTTTTTTTTAAAATGTGTGATCTGCATGTGTAGGCCTTCACGTCAGTCAGTTGTCAGTGAGCATATCTGCTTGTGTGTTCCTGTCTGTTCTCTGGGTGTCCTGAGTCATTCACCACCATGGAGTGTGTGTGTACGTGTGTGTCCCTGAGCAGGCTTAGCCCCTCTGGACTGTCTCCAGCCTCCATGGATCCTCAGAAGGTCAGGGTTGGAGACTTGCGAGGAGCCTGGCAGGGTAGGGTGGCGTTGCTGGGACAGGGAGGGGAGGGAGACAGCAGCGTGCATGGAAAGCCTGGCGCTGCCGCTTCCCAGCAGGCGAGTCCCAACACAGGCAGACAGGTGGGGCTGACCTGACAGGTTCCGGAGGCCAGGGGCAATGGGGCGGAGCATAGCTCTGACTTTAGGGTGGCAACAGGTTGGGGGCCCTGCCTTACACTGGGAGGGCCAGCAAGAGGCGTGCTGCTGGTATCTTCTTCCTGCTACAGCCAGCTGGGGTGCAGGCGATGGAGCCTGCCGGCAGGTGAGGCAGCCAGGTGGCCAGGCATGTTTGGAGGCCTAGGGCCTGGGGGCACCCAGGGAATGGCAGGACCCCTGCGGGGCCGGGTGGAGGAACTGAAGCGGCCCTGGTGGCGGGAGAGCTCACCCCTGGTGCTGCAGCACAGCGAGGCAGCTAGGTTGGCAGCCGATGCCCTCCTGGAGCGGGGCGAGGCTGCCTACCTGCAGGTCATCTCCGAGGAGCGGGAGCTGCCCTTCCTGAGCGCCCTGGACATGGACTACATGACCAGCCATGTGCGTGCAGGTCCTGAGCTCAGCGAGCCCCAGGGCCCGGAGGCCTCAGGGCCTGACCGCCTCAGCCTGCTCTCTGAAGTCACCTCAGGCACCTACTTCCCCATGGCCTCTGATGTAGACCCTCCAGACCTGGACCTGGGCTGGCCTGAGATCCCACAGGCCACGGGCTTTAGCCCCACCCAGGCTGTGGTCCACTTCCAGAGGGACAAGGCCAAGAACATCAAGGATTTGCTGCGTTTTCTCTTCAGCCAGGCTCGAAAGGTAAGGGCTTCATCTCTTCAGGCATTACTTCACAGAGGTACCCACTGAGGCGCAGGAGGGAGGGGGACCTGGTTAAGGTGACACGGGAACTTAGATGCAGAACTGGGACTAGAACCTCTGGCCTCTATGAGACAGCAAGCTGGGAGAGGACGGGCGTGTGCTTTATTTCCCTTGGTAGTCCTTGGCATTCAGCAGCATTATGTATAAGCACAGAACAGGGCATGGGCTTCTAGGACTCCACAAAACCCCTTCAAATGCATGGGAAGTTGTACATATTGCAAGGAGCCCTCACTGCATCTTTCTTGGGAGGGAGTCCATAGCTTTCATCGGATCCTCCAACTCTTATGACCCCCAAACTAAGAACCCAAACCTGGAGAACATCAGAGCCACCCCTTTGACTTAGAGGAAGAAACTGAGGCCAGGGAGGTGGTGCTGAGTCTTGGCCAAAGAAGTCCTCAGGGGCCAGGAGAAGGAGGTCCCTGATGAGACTCTTGTTCTCTGCTGTTCCTTGCCCTGATATGCTGTTTCCCGCTAGGCCTGAAGTGGGGAGGGGACACTAGTTTATGAGCCTTAGCCCGGTCTTGAGGTTGACGCATTTAGCTCTGCAGCAAGGAGGTGGGAGGAGGGCAAGCTGCTGGGCTCAGGGGAAAGAGTCAGGAGAGCATGTCTGGGTGGTCATGTAGGGGAAAGCTGCAGCCACACAGCAACGCAGCTTCACTCCCAGAGCCCTGGCCTCTACTCAGAAGACAGAGACTAGACACAGTGACTCGCAGCCGGAGCTGAGGCATGGTTAGGCTGTTGTAGCAGAGATGAGGATGACATGATCTCTCAGTACCTGCTGAGCCTCGCAGGCAAGCCTGCCTGTGCCCCAGGCAGGAGAGGGCCAGGCCCGATTGGCATCAGGAACGGGGTTATTAGAGAGGCTGCTGCTGTTGTCATCACCGGCCCCCTTTGATCTTTCATGCCTGTTCTTGTTCCCCTCACTCCTGGCCAGGCTTCTGCCATGGACCAGGGTACCCCCAGTGCCTTTCTGCTCGCCCCCATTTAGACCCCTCCAGCCCTGGGCTAGGAACCAGGCTCGTGTCCCTAACTCCTTGAGTGACTGTGGGAAGTACTAGCTCTCCCTGTGGCACAATGTCCTCATTGGCTACAAAGACAACAGGAAAGCTGCATTTATTGAGCTTCTGTTGTGTCCAGCATTTTCACATTTAATTCCCTGTAACTCAGAGATGCAGCTATCATTATCTCCATGCAGCATCCGAGGAAGCTGAGGTTCTGGAGATGAGTGACTTGCCCAGGAAGTGGCAGAGTCTGGGCTTGAACCCAGGTCTATGTGGCTCCAGAGCTGCAATGCTGGGCTCTCTGTATCTTCTGCCTCTTGCCCCTGCCCAGAACAGGATAATCTTGGCGGACACATGCAGTAGGAAGAGGGAACAGATGGTCTGGGGTGCCAGGAGCTACTCTGAGGCAATTTATAGGGGAGGCAAAAGCCCCAGACCACAACTGAGTGGTAAACATGATTCCATGAGAGTAAGGTGTCACATCAAGCCTTTGCAGGGAAACTGAGGAACGCTCGGCAAAGGTATTGAATATCCGACTGGCTTTCAGCTTTATCTTGAGATAGGAGCAGCAGTTAGCTAGTCCCTGGGCCACAGCCAGGGAGGGAGCTAGTGGGGAATGAGCCTGGGAAAGAGGGTCTGGGCCTCAACATAGAGTGGGACTTTGGACTGGCACAGCTGATCCATAGGTTTTTTGTTGTGTTGTTGTTGTTCGTCTTTTTGAGACAGGGTCTTACTATGTAGTTCAGGCTGGACTTAAACTCACTTTGTAGCCCAGGCTAGCCTCAAACTCACAACGATCCTCCTGCCTCAGCCTCCTGAGTGCTGGGATTACAGGCATGCTCCACCACGCCCAGCTCCACAGGTATTTCTGAGAATCTGATGACAGATACTCTGTCCACAGAAAAATGCACACAAAAACTTTCAAATGAGAGGCTCAAAACAGCCAAATCTTCCCATGCCCAGGTTAAGAATCCTGAGGTAGGCATCACTCAAGCACATCCTATTCAGATGTTCTCCCAGGCTCTGGCCTCCTGGTTTTTGGGCCTGTACTCCTCTTGGGAATCCAGACCGGGCTGGATGTGGACTGGGCCCAAGGAGGCTTAGCTGCCCCTCCTTCCCCAGGTGGTGGCTGTGGTGATGGATGTATTCACTGACATGGAGCTTCTGTGTGACCTCATGGAGACCTCAAGCAGGCGTGGTGTCCCTGTCTACCTGCTCCTGGCCCAGGAGCACCTGAAGCACTTCCTGGAGATGTGCTACAAGATGGACCTCAATGGGGGTCACCTGCCGGTTAGTGTGGGCCAAGGGCAGCAACCTGGGGTGGAAAGTCAGGAGGGCAGAAGAGCCATTTGGTAGCCAGTGAACACTGGGGGAGTCACTGGGAGCAGGGAATCATGTTCCTGTAGTTGGGGTCAGAGACACTGTAGAGAGGCCAACCCTACAATGTCCCTCTACCCTTGGGCCAGAACATGCGTGTGCGGAGCACAGGTGGGGACACGTACTGCAGCAAGGCAGGTCGCCGCTTCACTGGGCAGGCCCTGGAGAAGTTCATCATCATCGACTGTGAGCAGGTGGTCGCAGGCAGCTACAGGTGAGCAAGTGAAAGGGAGAGGAGTCTGGGGTTGTGCCATGGGCTGATGAGGGCATCTTGAACTTTCTTCCATGTATCCATTCATCCTTTCACACATATCCTGTGCACCTGCCATATGCCAGTACCCCTGCAGGGCCAAGTTAATGTGGAGGAAGTGAGCAGAGGAGGAGCCCACTCAAGTGGAAGGGTTACTTGAATGCCTTTGGCATAGAAAGCAACTACTACACATGGGAAATGGAAGGACTATAGGAATCTCCTTCCTGGTCCATTTTACATGTGGGCCAGTTCAGGCCTCCAGAGGGCAGCCACGTGCCCAAGTCCTCTAGGCAGGACTAGGGCAAGAACAGGTTCTGGATTTGGAGCTCTGTCCTCTCATAGTGAGCATCATGGGGGTGCAGTCCTGGTCCACCTCCCAGCATGCTTCCCTGGTTATGATTCCTGTTGAGCGCCTGGCCCTGCACTTCTCACTCCTGACCCAGACCCTCTGCCCCCCAGCTTCACCTGGCTTTGCAGCCAGGCCCACACCAGCATGGTGCTGCAGCTGAGGGGCCGCATTGTGGAAGACTTTGACCGGGAGTTCCGCTGTCTGTATGCTGAGTCACGGCCTGTGGAAGGCTTTTGCGGCACTGAGGATTCACTGTCTCCCCAAGTACCACGTCCTCCCCCAGTGGCCCTGGCCTTTGGGCCTGGCATCCCAAGCCCTGCGTCCTCGCCCTCTAGCAACAGTCTCAGCAGCATCAAGCGCTCACCTCTCATGGGCCACTCTTCCTACCTCGCTCTACCAGGAGGTGGTGGCTGGAGTGACACGGCTATGGGGTCCTCGGCCCTAGGCCCTGCCCACCGTGAAGGTGGCGGCCAGCCTTCCCTGCATCGACAGCTGTCAGACCCTAACCATGGCTCCCCTCACGGGCCCTACAGGGCCAACCTGGGCAAGCTGGGGGCACTCCCATGGTCCCAGTCCTCCCCTGCCCTCAACCACAGTAGCCCCAGTCCTTTGACCCAGGCAGTGAGGTCACCTCTGCTCCCCCGCCCTCACCCGCTCCTCCACTTCCCCCGGGGATTTCCAGTTCTGTCCCGGCTCCCAGAGAATGGGCTTCCAGGAAGCCAGGAGCCTAGTCCCCCAAGAGGTCAGCGGATACTTGGCACAGCCTTGGAGATGAAGGAGGAGAAGGCATCTCTGAGTCAGAGCCATGGCCAGCTGGACCTTCTAGTCTCATTCCCTAGAGCCTGCGAGAGAGGTTTTGACCCTGGGGTTACCCCCAACTCAGGCTCCCATCAGTCAGATGAGCAGGGTCCAGAGGACAGGAGGCTGTCCCTGAGCCAGGGCTATAGCCAGCTGGATCTCCTGCCCCAGACCCAGGGTGCTAGGGGTGGCGCTGAGTCAGGTGCCGTCAGACATGGTGATGTAGCCCCAGAGGACAGGATGCTGTCCCCAAATCACAGCTATGGCCAACTGGACCTCCTGATACATGACTCCAAGGCCAAGGGTTCCAGAGTGCCTGCTGAAGCTAATTCCGCAGCCAGACCTGGCAAGCATGGTCTAGATGAGCGAAGACAGACCCTGGGCCACAGCCAGCTGGACCTCATCACCAAGTTTGGCCCATTCCGGAGTGAGGGGCCTGGGCCCAATGGTCTCCCAGGACCCAGCCCTCCTTGCATGGCTGGAGTAGGCAGTGGAGATGAGAAACGGCTGACTCTGGGCCACAGCAAACTGGACCTCATCACTAAGTACCACCAGCTTCAGGGGGTCAGGCAGGACCCTGAGCCTGTCTTATCTGGGGGCCCCACTCGTGGTCATCAGAATGGTAGTAGCAATGACCTATCTGACAATGAGAAACGGCTGACTCTGGGCCACAGCAAACTGGACCTCATCACTAAGTCCAACAAGTCCAAGTTCAAGCTGCTCCGAAGCCGCTTTGAATCCTAGTCTTGCTTCTTCCATCCCAAGACTGTACTTGCTCAGGTTATGGACCCTGGGGGTGGGGGTGTAAAAATGGGGCTGCACAGCAAGGAGAGGCATCTAGAAGTCCAGGTTAGACACTCCCTGGACTCAAGATTCTCAATACACACACACACACACACACACACACACACACACAGAGGAGTGAAGGGAAATCAGAGTTACTTAGTGCCAACTTACTGTATGTCTCTATGCTGGGCACTTCAGACTAATTACTCTTCTCATCCATCATATTCACAACAACCTAAAAGATGGGTTTCCTGTTGGTACATAGTTATAGGATGATAGATAATATTTTCCCTTTACATAAATGTGTGAGCTGAGGCCCAGGGAGTTTGGATGGCCTAATTGGACGTGAGTCAAAATAAATGGTGAAGTAAAAACTTTGCCAGACCTATGTCCACTGGTTTGGTTCTAAAGATTGCGGTTCTTGCAAATGGCACACGACATCTACACTTCATGTGTCTCATTCACACAAAATACAAACAGGACAGAGACCCCCAAATTCCCATACACAGCACACTGTCAGAGTAGGGAGAACGCTCATAAACTGCACACCCATAGATGCACATAGCAAGTACACATGGGTCGTGATAAAATCCAACACTTGATACTATAGTTGAGGCTATTGAATAAATGTCATTTGGAGAAATGATTACACAAAACACACACATTCAGTGTACACTACAGTCCCCTCAGTATACACAAACTGCAAATACGAATATGACTCAAAACACACATGCACGCGCGTGCACACACACCAACTACTGTTTATACTTAAGCTATGTCACCAGTCTTATACTGTGCATTCCCTAGGATTGATAGATAAATCAGACCCAGACAATGTAGGATGAGGATTAAATGTGTAAGCCACAGGATAACAAGATACGGCTGTGTCAAATGAAAAGCTAACCAGAGGATGATAAGTCATGGAGATGGTCACGAAAGTTTTTTAGAAGAGTCAGTCTTTAAAAGGGTGGAGAGGTTTCAGAAACATGGAGGAGAGAGAAATTCTTGGTAAAGCAAGTCACACGAAGGGAGGAGCACAGAAGGAATGAGTGGGTTTGAAGACAAATAGAGCATGTAGGTACTCAGAAGCACACATGCACACATCATCTTGCCAAGTGTCTCTTAGAGCAGCCTGTAACAAATTATGTGCCTTTTTCCTGGGTTCGCCACCTGTTTGGAAGAGAGTATGTAATACAAATAAATAAAGGAAGACATGGCTAGAACCACATATGGCAGTGTGGTTTGTCACAGGAACGGCAGGTTATGGACACGCAGGTTGGGGTTGGAAGAGGACACCGTTCCGGCTGATTATGGGAGGGGAGGATCGCCTGTAGGAAAGTGGAGAGTGGATGCCTCAAATGGGCTTCAGGCAGGGGGCGCCAAGGCCCTCACTGTGACATTCTGAGATTCTGGGACTTCTGTAGATTCTACCAAATGCAGGCCAAGTTCATCCTGTCCAGGAGAGCAAGGCCCTTGGCCAACACCACTCTCCCGAGGACAGAAGCTGGCTGCCGCGTGAGTGGTAGAGCCTGCGTGAGAGGCACACGAGGAAGCATGTCAGCCCCCACGTCCTCGCGCAGCCTGGACCCCTGCCTCTCCAACCAGTCCTCAAGAGCCGGCTTCCCTCACCGCCAGTCTTCAGCCTGTTTTCCTCTGCTGGCAGAGCCGAGCATCCCGGAGCCCGTGACTGGTCTCCCCTCTCTCTACTGGACACCT